GATTGTCTTAAAACACTTTCGCAAGGACAGTAAATAGACGGGTCCTTGTGTGCTGTGGTGACACCAAAGTAAACAGAAGTTTGGGGATTGTATTTGTAGTTTTCACTTGACAACTTGTTTGAATGCCAAATACGAGTAAGAACTTTGTTCCCCCCGCTCCCTCCTCTTCTGTTCTCTTGTCTATATTCTTTAGCCGCTGGAGATGGAGAGAAAGATGCACTGCCCCATTGCAACTTGCAGGTTTACACATACACCTGTGACGTGGGCAAAAGAGAAAATGTCTACTCGACAGCCGAGAGGGTCCGTAAGGAGGTTGGCGAGGTGTCTGTCCTGGTTAACAACGCTGGTGTGGTCTCTGGGCACCATCTTCTGGAGTGTCCTGATGAGCTTATTGAGAGGACTATGATGGTCAACTGTCATGCACACTTCTGGGTAACTATAAACTCCTTTCTGCTGCCCTTTTTGTCAGTTAATTTTGGGATGTGAACTGCTGTTGCTTAACTCCTATCTCCTTGAGTTTTGTACTTGCACCTTTTCATAATCTCACTGCCTTGGGTGTTTCTTATTTTGAACTGACTGCTCTGTTTAACAGGAATGGTGGTATTAAGATTGTTAACAAATAGTTTTAAATCGTCTATATCTCTCTGGACTCCAGAGTTCTTGTGCCCATTTCTGTGCCTCTGCATAGGAAATCCTTTACAAGCATAATAACCTCTGAATCTGCTTAAAGGTTATTACTGTTAATGAATGGCTTCTTAGCCCTCTTCACATACTCCTCTGGCAGCACGTTAGCAGCTTTAAGATGCTGTTTTAACGATGCTTACAATAGCAAACTTGAGCATTTCTGGGAAAAAAAATATTTAAAACTCCTGCTGGAAATGTTGTTTGAATTGCCTTGGAGGCAAATTGTTCCTTTTGAAGGCTGGGAGGAAAGGCGAAAAAGATTTCTCAAGAAATCAAGCCAAGAACACTTTTTCAGGAATCCTGCGTATTTGTCCTCATAGCTTTCTCTGGGGACTGCCTGTGGAAGTAAGAAAATCTTTAATATGGTTTCTGGGGTGGTATTGTCTCCATAACTATCAGATGCTAATCAAGGAGAGCAAGCTATGTGATTGTACTCTTTTTGTCAATCTAAGCCTTGCTTTCCTGTGTGGTTTATTTTTAAACACACGGTGGTGTGGAGTTACATAAATTGGAGTGTGGAAGGAGGGCATGATGCACACTTGGGTTAGCATTAGCTGTCAGACTGAGACCATTGTTAGTATTGAAACTGTTCTTTGATTCTTCAAATAAGGTTATGAAATACACTTGCATAACAATGAAAGGATTAAGCAATCTGAAATATACTTCAATTTAAGCCTTCTTTGACGGGTCTTACCATGTCATAATAAAATTTTGTCAAATGCCTCATCTCCAGAACTTAGAAGGTCCTCCCAAACCTAACTCTTTTAACATGGAAGTGAAATGCTGTTTCATAACCCTAAAGGAGCCCCTTCAAATCTGTGCTGTGAAACACTTAATGGCAGAGCAGTCTCTTTCCAATGTATTGTAAAGCTTGCAGAGAGGCTGCTTGAACTTCAGTGCGCACGAGATAGTATGTTTAGAAACTCTTTTAAGCCTGAACGTCTGTTTTAAGGCAATCTGAAAGGTTCTGAGAAAGCTTGTATGACTTCTTATAACCAAGAGCTCTGTGTGTTCCCCTTCATAAAAGTTAATTTGGTGCTTAAGCAAACAGAGATGTGCACTGGATTTAATGACTGTTATTGATGTGGTTTAAATGCCGAATTGACAGTTTCCAAGAACTCTAAATTATGACATCACCATGAGTTAAAATATGGGAGGACCCTAAATTCTCCAGCTGTTCTTCCTTCGGGCCTAAGTCATACACTTATTTATAACATTGTTTCAGAGACCTTTCTAAAGCACTCTGTGTGTTCTGAGTCTCTTGCAATACTAGACTCTAGTTCTCTGTTACTGTTATGATTGGGTTTCTGTAGCAATTCCATTCATCTCTAAACAGTAGTGTGAAGTGAATTTAAAATTAAAAATGGAAATAAATTATTTCTCCAAGAAGGTGTAGCTAGGTCTGAACTGTGGACCTTGAGATCTTGGGTTAAACTTTTAAGGCGCAGTCAACACCCTTTATATTTAATAGATGATCTGTTCATATGTGCACTTCTGTAGATCCTGTGTTCTACTTTGCTTTTCCTTTTATTTTTTTGCTGTTGGCAAAGCTCTTCTTGTTGTATTCCCCTTCATGATCCCAGAAAAGGTTGGCTTGACCAACAGTGGGTGGACTTCTGTTGAGAGTAATACTACTTAATTCATAAGGTATCATCTGAATTAGCTGATTTAAAGCCAACTTTTTTGATGCAAGTCAATGCTGACTTAAATAGAACAATGTGTCTAGATGTGTGAAGTCTTACACAGCTAGTGTTTTCCATGTCAGCTAAACTGGTGGTCCAAAAGCAAAGCTAATACTCTGGAGCATTATGTAGGCTTTTAACTATTCTTGGAGGGTGTTTAGTCCAAAAAGCTGTAAATGGATTTTGTCAAGACATGGATCCTGCATGTAATATTGCTTCAGTAGTTAAGTGTCTGTACTTTCTGGGGGTTTGGTGGGGTTTTTTTAATGTGTTTCAGGGGCAATTCTGTCTCATCCCTTGATCATTAATCAAGCCTCAGTGTGCTTCTATATAAAACTGAAAATGGGGCTCTTGAAACATCTGAATAAGATCGATTGCCTGCTGTCTGTGCAGAATGCAGGTGCTCTGAGCTTGCTTTTGTTAGCAGCTACCATCTGATGGCTGCACAACTTCTGCAGTAGGCAGTGACATCAAAGTTTGTCACCGTTTCGCTCTTGTGACTCCAACTGGGCAGTGTCCCGTATCGCAAACTGGCAGTTGAGAGAGCCTTAGCAGCATGCCACAGCCTAAACACATGCTTTCCATTTTGCTGACATTCATGATTTGTGTAATCCTTCCTATGAGTGTTCTATATAAACATGTCACCACTGCATCATGTAGCAATTTCCACAGCATAAAATCCACTGCAGTATTAAAAACCTGTTATTTCATGCTGTGATAACTTGAATGCTTCTGATATTGAAAACATAGGGACAAAATCCATTCCTGGTTTGAAACAAGCCAGCTCTGGTTTACTATAATTTGCAGATGCATAAAATTGTAGGAGGAGTGTAACACTATCTTTCCTGCCAGTCTGTTACAAGAATAATAACTTACTTGGCTGCACTTGTCAATAATTAGAACTGAACTTCTGCAGACTAGGAAATATTCTTCATGTGATATGTCAGGATTTAAATTTTTATAATGTTAAATTATCCTAGAAGATAACGTGTTGTTTAATCAGTTTTTAAAAAATACAGGAACAAGTTTTTCTTTCTCGTAGTTTTACAATAAAGCTTAAGTGAAGTATCGAAATACTGTGTGTTAGATTGTGGCACTGTATTAAATAAAGCTACTGTACAAACTCATTTTTGGAACAATTTGAGAGTCTTGTACCTACTCTAAGGTACAAGAGAAGAAGAATCTAGTGGAAGAATAGGTTTCTGGAAGAATGTTTTTTCTAGAAAAACAATTTATGTCTGGATAAGTAGATATTAATGTTGTACATTACCATAATACCTGGGAAATCATTCTAGAGTTGGTTGTTGAGTGGTTCTCAGGGAGGGGCCGGGGCTAAGGGCAAGGTGAGGAGCAGGGTCTGAAGTTCTGGCATGAGGGTCCATCTGTACAACAGATCTTCAGTATTCAGCTCTGGGACAAGAATGATCTGCATTTCCCTGTCATGGGGATGCTCCAAAACTTTCAGCTTAAAGCTCTCATCGTAGAGTTCTCTTCAACCTACCAAAAGGGGGAAGCAAAAGCATTCAGCTCCAGCTCTGTCATATGTAGAAAATAAATAAATAAATAAATCCATGTAGAGAGGCACTAGGACCCCAGGACCCCTTCAAGCTAGAGTCTGATGACTTGTGTACTACTTTTCTTAGCTGGAGTGGTTATATTCATTTACTTACAAACTACTTGATTTTATTTTTTGTGAAGGCATGCTGGCTTACCTGTAGTAATTGAAGTAATTTTTTAGGTGGCCTGACATTGACACAGGAAGAGATAAATACTGATTAAAGAGGGAAATACTACTCTAGTATTTAGGACATGCATAAGTAGTCTAAAACCTCTAAAATTTGCATATAACTTGAAATGATGACTAATACAGAGTTACTAAATCAGATACCCATCTATGCAGCTGATGTACTTAGCAGTTTAAGGATGACAGGATTGCTAAAGCCTTAGAGAATAATAGTGGCTTAGAGTTGTCAATAATTTATCAGTATTTATGTTATTCTAGTCTCCTCAAGCTTCCTGGTGTTAAATAAAGCTCACTTGTATCTATAGTTTGTTTAGTTCAAATATGGAAGTACTGCACTTTGTGTACACACCAAATCTTCTACAGAAGAAAAAGCAGCTTATGATATTTGAAACTATACCATGTTGAGTCTTGTAGCCTGTTGGCATAGCAGTTTAATTTTTGTCATCAAATCTAGGATTCTAGCATCTATGATCTAATACAGAAACAATGTTCCACTGACAGGCCAGCTAGCTATACTGAGTATTTTGGATGAGTGGAGTTAGCAGCTTTAATTGAATTTTTTTTCTTTGTTTATTTCATGATAATGTCCCCAAGATGCACAAGTTTACTTACAGAGTTTAATCTACATATTCTTGACTTTTTTTCTTGAAAAACGTGTGTATGCAATCCAAAAAGTATCATCAAAACTAACTCTTCCCTTGCAAAATTATTCCAGCTACATGGCACCAGTAAATTATCCTGGACAGCACATGTGTTTCCTATACTGTGGTAGCATGCTGGGTAGTGAGTATGAAGGAAAAAGCAATCATACTCTTAGCTACGGAAATAGCCGTGTTAGTCATACTTAAAACTTATAAGTGCTTTGGTGTAGTTCTGCCATTCATGTGTTCTTGGGTTCATTTCTTAAGAAAATAGAGGGAATCCATCAGTTGAGAAAATACTGTCTTCCAGATTCATGCCCCAGAAAACGGCATTTTGTCATTTTCTAAAGCAGTACACTTAACTCAAGTTTTGGAAAACAAATGGGTAGATATATGTATTTCTGGAGCTTGAGTGGGCACAGGACTCCTGGTTTAGAGGTTTCCTCACAGATTTACTTTATGGTCTACAAGGACTTGTCTAGCATTGTGTCAAACACAGTTGTCACCAGCATGCAGTCTTCAATTTTGTAACCTGTATCTTGCAATCTGTGTGTATCCATAATCTAGCTTTGTAGTCATGTTTCAGTTATGGTTATCATTTTAAAAAAATAAATTGAAAGATTTTTAGTTTTCTCTTCCTTTTTGACAGGGCATTAACTCAAACAATTTAGTTAGGTACCT